TCAACTGTCTTTTGCCATTAATTCTACTCATTACACACAAGCATGTATTCATCTTTCTTATATTATGATTGGTGAAGCAAACCGGAATACTTTGGAATTCCTGCTTAGATGTACTAATTGTGGTTTCTATACCTGTTTAAATACTTCTATACCATTTAATCACTCTCAATATATTCTTAAATAAGGAAAGGGGTATGATATCTCTTAACTTAGAAAGCTCATGGCAGCAAACCCAAACTGCTTACAGGTTGCAAAATTTTATAGATAAATTAATACAATATGCTAAGTGATTTGTAGAAATTCTAACTGAAGTTATATTAAGAGTTATTAGCATTACAGCCACTGCAGCAGTAGCTGGAGTGGTCCTTCATCTGTCAGTACAAACTACTAAATTGGTGCAAATGTGGCATGAACATACTGATAGATTATGGCAAACTCAACATTCTATAGATGAAAAATTGGTAACTGAAATAGTAGACTTGTAACAAGCAGTGGTATTGTTAGGAAATCAATTACAGCTTAAATGTATTTGGACTAGCTCTTCTTTTTGTGTTACTCCTCATCAGTATAATAATACACTTTTCCCTTGGGAGAATGTTCAAAAACATTTAATGTATCTAGGAAACTCATTCTTTGAGATTGGAGCTATGCAGTAATATTTGAGACATTTAACAACTAAAATTACTGCAAGGAACTGATTTATTACACAGTATGAATGAAGGAATATAGCACTTGAACCCCTTAAAACAACTGCAATTTTTCCAAACATCTACCATCATTCTGATATAACATTATGATAATAATGTTCTTTGCTTGTTCTTTTTTGTAGTCTGGTGATGCTCATCCAGAAAATGCCAGGAAACAGGAAGACAAACCGCAGCCTTTTCATTAGTACTTCAAAAGATTGCAGCAAAACAGAGGGAGAAATGTGGAGAAGGACATTCTATAGTTTACCCATGTATTACCTATATGGGACTTTGAGCCTGGTCAGGCCATATGACTGTTTGTTCTGGAGGAAGTCTAGGAAAAGCATTAGTGTATAAGGAAAGGAAAGCAGGACCTTAGTCCCTATGGAATGCTGGTGGGATAGCACAAAATGCTTTGCTGAGCTGTCTGAAGGAATGATGACATGAGGGCCGGCTAAGTCAAAGTTTAGTTTCTGGGATAAATAAACTATATCACCCTCACTAATTCTGTTAATGATTCCTCCCATTTCTCCTGTTCCTGCTTTATGTGAGAGAATCCTAATAAAAGGCTAAAGAAAATTGCAATTGAGGCTCCAGTCCTAGAGGCTGTAGCACCCTGATCCAATAACTTTTTTCTTATTTTTCTTTTCATCTGCCTCACCTTGTTTTCATGACCTGTCACCCCATACAGAAACTGACACCTGAGGGGATGAGGGCACAGCAGCTGCAGGTGAGCTGGGAGAGTGGTGCTGGAGGGGCTAAGGCAGCTCCAGGAGCTCAAATTCAGGTTGAGATTCAGCTCCAGATTCAGGTTGAGGAACTCCAGTTCAGCAGGGGCAGGTGGATGCTGGATAGGTCAAAATACTCTCAATCGGTCAGGGGAACAGAGCAGAGCAGCTACAACAAGGCTGGAGCAGGAGGGTGCTGCAGGAAAAGGGCCACTGCAGGACGTTGGCCCTTAGAAGACTAGGGCAGAGCAGGTGTTGAGCAGGTGCAGCTGGATGAGGGCAGAGCTCATGCAGGTGAGCTGGGGCACATCAGTGCTGGAGGGAAAGGGCAGCCTCAGGAATTAAGGGCATGCAGGCAGTTCACCTAGAGGTGAGCTGGGGCATGCAGACTCTGGAGGGGCCATAGCACAAGGTCAAGGGACTTGGACATACAAGCTCCAATTGAGCCAGAGCAGTGGGTGCTGGATGGGCCCAACAAACCCAGGAATTCAGTGGACCAGGGAAGAACAAGGGTATTTGAGCATAGCACATAGATGCTGGAGGGCCCAGTACAGCCCCCAAAATTCAGGGGACCAGGGCAGAACAGCTACAGGGGAGGTATTTGTGTGCTACGTACATGTTACAACTTGTTACAACTTGTTTCTTGGAAGGGATCTTAAGCATCCAGGACAACACATCAAGTGAGCTGGGGTAGGAGTGTGGTGGAGGAGACAAGAAGCCTCAGGAGCTCAGATTTTGGAGGCAGATGAGAAAACATGGCTGGCAGAGGCAGCCTGAGTCTCTCTGGAAATAGCTCACTAGATGGTCTTGGCCCAAAGGAGCAGAGCACAGGAGGCCATCGGCACCTCTGAGGCTCATGGAATGGCTGGCTTAGTTCTGGGGCTCAGGGTCCTATTTTCCTTCTCCTACTTGGCCCATCTCACATTCCCTCCTCTGCCATGTTCCCAAGTCCCTTTTCTGCCCCCCTCCTACCTTTCAACCAACAGCAGTTGCCCTGTTCAGTCATGTTCTATGCAGCTGCCATCCCCCAAAACAGCTGATGGACAGCAGCTCTGGGGTCAGGCTGACTCAGTTCTCACAGCCTGGTGGAGCCTGGGGGTGGGGGACCTTGCCAAAGTTGCACAGGGCAGTCTGTGTGCAAAGGACTATTGAGGGCCTGAGCGGGCCACAGGCTGAGGAGGGGACAAGGACTCAGGCCTCTACAGTCTCAAGATTCATCCAAACCTCTAGGCCCCAGGGCTGCTAGCAACCAGACTGGGCTGGGGCTTCCCTGGATCCTAGGGTGCTTGTAGCATGTAGACAGCAGGGAGAGTGCAGGGGTTAAAGGTGTGAGTACAGGTGGGCACCTGAGCTGAGCTCAGCAGGGTCCACCCAGGAGGAAGCCCTGGGGACAGCAAGACTTGCGAGGCGACCAAGCTGGGCAGGGGCTGAACAGGGATTGGGCAGCAATGAGACAGGACTCTGGATAGGAGGGCATCAGTGGACCTCAGGATACCATGTGTGGGACCCAAAAACTAGCTGGAACCATGGCTTAGATTCACCAGCCTACCTAGCACAGCTGAGGGCTGAGGGGCTGGAAAGGAGCCTCATGGGTATTAGCTTCAGGATGACTGTGCCGCATTTGCTCAGAGCTGACCCAAGGACCCAGTCCGGTAGGGCAAAGGCCTCAGTGATACTTGGTCCAGGGTGTATGAGCAGATATTAGCCCAAGGGTGGCTGACTCTCAACATAATGAGGGGACTCCCACCAGGGCACGGCCAGACTGCAGGGTCAGAGCTCTGCAGGGCTCACAGGACTCAATACTGAGACCAGTCAGGCCAGGCATCCACAGGTCAGAGTGAGGGCAAGCACTGCAAAAATGGGCTGCATTGCCAAGGAATAGGCTGCAGGTGCTTTAGTGGGTCATGCAGTGCTGACCAGACTGCTGAGGATGGCCCACAGATCAAGGGCAGTGGTGCTAGACAGGCAGAACCCTTGCTGGACAGCTGGGCCTACAGCTTGCTGGAAGCACATCAGGGATAGCCTGGGCTTGGGAACTGCCTGGCCTGGACTCCTTGGAGCTCACAAGGATGGGTGGCTAAGGCAGGCACGTGATGCTTGGCATGGACAACCAAGCAGGTGAACAAAGGCTGCCTCAAGCACAGTCCCTTGCTATTCGATATGAATAAACAGGATTTTCAAAATGGTCATAGTTCCAAAACTAATACATCAATTTAATGTAATCCATCAAAATACCAACAGCATTCCTCAAAGAATTAAGTGGAAAAACCCCTAAAATTTATATGGAAAACTAAACAAATCATATCCACAAGTATGAAAAAGATGATACAGTTGTCCCTCACTATATCACAGTTCACTTATTGCAGCTTCACTGCATTGCAGGTTTTTAAAAAAAATATCTAATTCTGTATCCTGGAATTTTTACTGTATCTCATGATTTTGTAGTATATAGGTATTTGTATATTTATGATTTTATTTTTCTGAAGAACTTTAAAACAATGTAAAAAATATAAAAAACATTCAAACATATTAAAGGAATATTAAATAAAAATACGGTATGCCACTAACGCTTGTGCAAGTTTGCCAATGTGAGATTGTACATGGCACACTACTGGATGATGGAAGGGAAGGCAACCAACCATAGCACTGCATCATGTATCCTGTGTGCTCATTGACTCAGTGACTGTAGCATCGGTCTGTGTGCTCTGCCACACACTGTCCATACATTCGGCATCTCTCCTTGTGCACTTCCCATCGATGTGATTGCTGCACACAGTGTTGCTCTGCGGTGATGTGTTTCTGTGAAGTATTTGTAATAGTCTGAATTTATTTGAAGCCCTATGATACCACTCAAAACACTGTGCTCCTTCTAAGGTTTCTGACAGTGAACCCAAGCTCCAGAGGAAGATGCTTACCATCAAAGGTGGAACTTCTCAACATGCTAATCACAAAAGCTATGCAGCTATAGGCTGCCACATTACAGGATCAAGGAATCTACTATTTGTTACATAACGAGAAGAATATTAGGTCTATGGCAACAATGACTTCTAACAAGACTGCAAAGAGGATGGTCACTTCTTACAGTAATGCCAATGTGAGGATGGTGTCTGCATAGGCATATGGATAAGGGACTGCAGGAAGAACAGTATCTTGCTGGATACCACCACCAACCAGATGAAAGCCAAGAATCTATGACAGTTTTGTGGAAAGCATGGACGTTCACAACAGTGATAATGAAGATAAGAATGAGGATGCTGCAGAAGCAGGACGGTAGAGTGATTCTCCCACCAGATCAACCCCATTCAGTGCCAGCAAGGGCTGGTTTGACAAATTTTAGAGACAGTTTAGACTCAAGAGCATTTCTCTTCATGGAGAAGCTGCTGCTGTGGATAAAGCTGGAGCCCAGGAGTAAGTGAATGACATGTTCAAATTCATCATTGAGGAAGAGGGCTGTAAGCTAGAACAAATGAATGGCATAGGTAAACAAGAAACAAGCTTTAACATATACATGTAACCTCAAAATGGTTGTAAACTGCATAAATTAGAAACATGTACTAATAAATTTTAAAAACCACATGTTCACATTTCTCTGAAAATATTTATTAAGATACAGAAATTCTCTTTCACTATACAGATTATGGAGTCATAGAGCAAAAATGGAAAATAAAAGTAGTGGCAAAATCCCAACAATTACAAAAAATAAGCAGTATTAAATTTTTCAATGCTCCATGCCTACCTATTTTAAAGACAAAACAAAAACTACATACTTATGATACTTGAAAGAAAAAAACACATTTTAATTCACCAATTCACCATGGATATTTAGAAGTAATTTACTAAAAAACACAATTTTTTTTCATATTGCTGAGATTGAATATTATGGAGTATTTATGAACAAATACTGATGTAAATCTGTACTAATTATTTCTACTGGTCTCCAATAGATAAGAAATTTTCAAACGATTCTCAAAACAAGCTTATATAGTTTCTCTCCCATTGCACCTTCCTTCTTGTATGTGATAAAATGTGCTTGAACTGAACATTTTGTCACACTGTTTACATGATGTTTCTGTGCAGTTTAATTTCTATGAAATGAGAATAGAGATCGTTATTCACACTTCTTACATGCATAGTGTTTCTCCACAGTGAGGGATGTACTTAAAAATTACAACTTCTGTGGAAACTTTTCCCATGCTGCTTACATACATAGGGCTCCTCCCTAATGAGACTTTAATGTACCTGAAAATATCAAATCTGCTGGCTTTAGCATAGTGCTTACATACATATGATTCCTTCCCAGTGAGTTCAGTCATGTGTTTTGACAATGATAGAGTGTTGAAAGCTTTATCACACAGCTTCATAATTAGGTTCCTATCCAGTGTAAGTTCTTTCATATATTTGAGAATGACTGTGCCGGCTGAAAGCTTTCCCCCAGTGCTACATCTAGGTTTTCTCCCCAGTGTGCCTTCATGTATTTCATAAGAATTGTATGTGTTAAAAGCTTTCTCACAGTGCTTACATAAATATGGCTTCTCCCCAGTGTGACTTCTTTCATGTATTTTACTGTAACACTGGGTAGTGATAGATTCTCCACATTGCTTACATACATTGGTTTTCACCAGTGTGACGTCTTTCATGCACTTGACAATAACTGTCCCTGCTGAATGCTTTTCCACATTGCTTACATATGTAAGGTTTCTCCCCTGTGTGAGTTCTTTCATGTGCTTTACAAGACCCTTGGGTAGTGAAAGCTTTTCCACATTGCTTACATATATATGGTTTCTCTCCAGTGTGACTTCTTTCATGTACTCGACAATAACTGAGTCTGCTGAACCCTTTTCCACATTGCTTACATATATAAGGTTTCTCCCCTGTGTGAGTTCTTTCATGTGCTTTACAAGACCCCTGGGTAGTGAAAGCTTTTCCACACTGCGAACATATATATGGTTTCTCTCCAGTGTGAATTCTTTCGTGTACTTGACAATAATTGTGTGTGCTAAAAGCCTTCCCACAGTGCTTACATACATAGGGTTTCTCCCCAGTGTGATTTTTTTCATGTATTTGACAAGAACTGCGTCTGTTGAAAGCTTTCCCACAGTGTTTACATACATATGGTTTCTCCCCAGTGTGAATTCTTTCATGTACTTTACTGTAACACTGGGAAGAGAAAGCTTTTCCACATTGCTTACATACATAGGGTTTCACCAAATTGTGACTTCTTTCATGTACTTGCCAACAACTGCGTCTGCTGAACGCTTTTCCACATTGTTTACATATATAAGGTTTCTCCCCAGTGTGAGTAATTTCATGCATCTGACAACTACCCCGTCTGCTGAAAGTTTTCCCACAGAATTTACAAACGTAAGGTTTCTCCCCAGTATGAGTTCTTTCATGTGCTTTATGAGACTCCTGGGTACTGAAAGCTTTTCCACACTGATTACAAAGATAGGGTTTCTCCCCAGTATGAGTTCTTTCATGCATTTTACAATACATATGTCTGCTGAAAGCTTTCCCACAGTGCTTACATACATATGGTTTTTCCCCAGTGTGAATTCTCTCATGATTTTTACAAGAATCCTGGGTACTAAAAGCTTTTCCACATTGCTTACATATGTATGGTTTCTCTCCAGTGTGAGTCCTTTCATGTATCTGACAACAACTGCGTGTGCTAAAAGCTTTCTCACAGTGCTTACATACATAGGGTTTCTCTCCAGTGTGAATTCTTTCATGTACCTGACAAGCACTGTGTCTGCTGAAACCTTTCCCACAGTGCTTACATATATGTGGTTTCTCCCCAGTGTGAATTCTTTCATGTATTTTACAATGAGCATGGGTACGAAAAGCTTTTCCACACTGCTTACATATGTAAGACTTCTCTGCAGTGTGAGTGCTTTCATGAATTTGACAATTATCGTATCTGCTGAAAGCTTTCCCACAGTACTTACATACATAAGGTTTCTCCCCAGTATGAGTTCTTTCATGTGTTTTACAAGACACCTGGGAAGTGAAAGCTTTTCCACATTGATTACAAATATAGGGTTTCTCTCCAGTATGAGTTCTTTCATGCATTTTACAATGAATGTATCTGCGGAAAGCTTTCCCACAGTACTTACATACATATGGTTTCTCCCCAGTATGAATTCTCTCATGCATTCTCCAAGAATCCTGGGTATTAAAAGCTTTTCCACATTGCTTACATATATATGGTTTCTCTCCAGTGTGAGTCCTTTCATGTATTTGACAACAACTGCGGGTACTAAAAGCTTTCCCACAGTGCTTACATGCATAGGGTTTCTCCCCAGTGTGACTTCTTTCATGTACCCGACAAGAACTGTGTCTGTTGAAAGCTTTCCCACAGTGCTTGCATACATACGGTTTCTCCCCAGTGTGAATTCTTTCATGTACTTTACACTGACTGAGGGTACCAAATGCTTTTCCACACTGCTTACATATACAAGATTTCTCCCCAGTGTGAGTTCTTTCATGAATTTGACAATTACTACGTCTGCTGAAAGCTTTACCACAGTGCTTACATCCATAAGGTTTCTCCTTAGTGTGAGTGCTTTTATGTGTTTTATAAGAAACCTGAGTACAGAATGCTTTTCCACACTGCTTGCATATATAAAGTTTCTCCCCACTGTGAGTTCTTTCATGTATCTGACAAACAGCATGTGTGCAGAAAGCTTTTCCACATTGCTTACATTGATAGGGTTCCTTCCCAATGGGAATACTCACATGCCTATGAAAAAAATTACTATGAGTGAATGCTGTCCCACCTTCTGTAGATACATAGGGCTGCTCTTTAGCATGCCTCTGTTCATGTACTTGAATACAGTGGGATGAAAGAAAAGCTTCCTCATATTCTTCACATATATATTGATTCCCCCCGCTGTTATTTGTTTCATGGATCTGAACATCACTAGATGTGCTAGAGGCTTCTAATCTTTTCGGACATACAAAGGTCTTCTCTCTAAGGTGAGTTCTTTCACTAAGATAAGAGCAGGATTTCCCATACTGATTGCGTTCATAGGGTTTCTCTCCAGCCTTTGTCCTTTCATGCTTCTCAAAGGACTGGAAATCACCACAAGTGCTTCCATTTTCATTACATTTATGCAGCTTCTCTTCAAATCCCGTGTACTCACACGGCTTCATACCAGTGTGAGCTATGATGGGCACATTTGGAGACAAATGCCCACTTAGGGGCTTTCCACAAGCAAGGCTTTCAGCTGGTTTTAAACCAGCTTGTGTCATGTCCACATTAGCATCTGGGAAGATTTCTTCATACTGATTCCAAGCTTTATATCGATAGCATTTCTCTACATGTTTACTTCTGTGGAGCAAAAAACAGTTACAATAAAATGGATCTCCATATTAATGATTTACCAAAATAAGTTCTTCCATCCTAAGAAGTACTGGCAATGAATTAACTAAATGCACTGGCGGATACCTTCAAAATGGCTATTGACAAAAAGGTGGTACTTATTTGGGAATTTTTAAAGTGTAATATACTGGAATACAAAAGATTTACTTCTTGAAAGTTAGTATACATGTATATCATATACTCATCATTTTGATACCTTCTCTATCACTCTCCCCGCTCTTTCCTTATCCTGTCTGTGTTTCTCCAAACACCCAGGCTTCCATTTTTCTATCACCTCTCCTGTATTCCTCCTCTGTATTTTTATTTCTCATGTAAGAGAAACAATACCCTATTTCACACTATGCATCCAACACGTATCATTTAATAATTATGGGGTTATCACC